AAATTTTCACTAGAAATTTTTCAAAAGTGTTTTTTTTTTTCTGACAGAAACTCCGTAATCTGCAAATTGTCCGATAACGGGACTTACAAACAAGTAATGCAAATATATATTGTACAGTAGAAAAGTAATTATACATCTTCGAATTCGTCGAAGTCGTCCTCTTCCTCGTCGTCATCGTCGTCATCCGCTTCACGTTCAGCCAAATCCGCATAGTAAGCTGCCAAAACATCTTGAGCGGCTTGATCTTTTGAATCCAGAGTTGGAAGGTTTGCTGGGGTGGATTGGACTTGATCGGATGGTTCGATTTGGGGAGTAGAAGATTCTTCTTTAATATCGGTTGATTCTTCTTTAATTGTAGGGGTTGTTTCTTTAGAAGATTCTTCACTATCCAATTTCCCTAGCATTTTACCAACGGTACTTGCCGAGTGCCAGGAAGGTAAAGCGTTTTGTTCTAATTTTTGTCTTCTTTGTTCTTTTTCTAATTGTTCACGTTCGTAATTTTCATCGTTAGCGGTAATTGAAACGTTAAGAGTGGCTTGAGACTTAGAAGCAGCGTTTTGTAAAGAGGAAGACATATTGGATCTTGATTTATTGCTAATACGATTTGATATGGTGTAGGAAGCAGAAGAAGAAGTTCTTGCTGGAATAGCAATGGTCAAGGCCAGTTCGAAATTATTATCTTCGATATAAGAATCGTCAATTTTTTTCAAATAAGAGATGATTGGATCAACTTGTAACATTAATTTTTCTAATCTAGCTTGTCTTATTGAAGCTTGCTGGTATGAATCGTCTTCAATTAAGATACCGTTACAATTATCACAAACAAAATTTAATTTATCATCACTTAATAAAGAAATTGCATCCAACTGGCTTACTTTTTTCCCACACCTCGGACAAACGTACCCATGAGGGTTACCCAACAATGACATTTCTTGTTTTAAATCATTTACTAAAGTATGCACTTTCCATTTGATTCGAATCAATTGCTTCAGTAATATGTATGTAATAATATGTTCGAGTAGTCAATCGTTGTTGGTTATTCTCTTCCTTCTGCACATGGTTCACCAATAATCTATCTTCCACCAATTTATAACAAAGTGCTCTTAATTGCTTGGGATTGATTCCTAATAAGTAGTATAAATCATCCTCCGACAATACGGAATGTAGCAATATAGCATCAAGAATCAAGATGTACTGGCGCAGGTAGAAGCCCCGCGCAACAAACCGAATCAAAGATCTAATCGTATCATCCATCCTTGACTACAGCCGGTAAAGTAACTGCAGTAAGCCAGAACTCTTTTTTTTTATGTCCACGAAGACCGCACGACATCGGGAACATAAATGTCGCACTAATGTCGTTGATCGACCGATCGGTAGGTCACGTGACCGGAGTACTCCCACTCCTTCCCCAAACCATATCTAAATGAACATCTAAATGAACCAAAGGGAATTAAATGAACCAAAAGGAATTAAATGAACCAAAAGGAATTAAATGAACTAAAGAAAATGAGCTTTAATCACCAAGGACTACAATCTCAAACGCGTGGCTTGTTGGAGATTGCTCCCCGTGGAAAACCAGAAACCCTTGCATAATCTCAAACCCAACCGAACAATCACCAATCACGTCAACCATTTCATCCCGTGCTGCCCACCTTCCAGTGGCCAATCAACCCCCGGACTTGGACGTAAATATACTCGATCGAGACGTGTTTCAGAAAGATAAAACGGCTAGCAGAACAAGGAGCACAATCGCGTTACTGGCAGCGGGTCGTGTCCCCTTCACCGAAAGAACAAAACGACGCGAAAAAAAAAAACTGAAACGCGTAATGAAAGCATAAGTCATTTAAAATATCACGCAGATAATCGTTCTTTTTTTTTTTTTTTTTTTTTTTATTTTATTTTATTTAGTTTTTTTTTTTTTGGTTTGTTAGTACCAGATACTGATTGAGTTTGGGTTCTACCGTTTCTTCTTGAATAATATTAAACAACGTCCATCGCCAGTACTCTAACAAGAACAAGAAAGATTGGAAAGACGGCCAAGAAGTAGTAGTTTTCAAAAGATATGTCTAGGGTATCAACTGCTAATCAAATTACCAATAGTGAAAGTGATACGAATATGAAGATGGGATCCAGTTCCAGGTTGCCATTACAAGAGAAGGTTACTAATGCTCATGTGAATGAATACAAGTATAAGGTTACCGATACTCCAGTGTCGTCGTATAAGAATAATTCCAAGATTAATACTCCACCACAAAGCATTCATATTACCAGTAAGAATCGTACCAATAGTATGTTGGATACTCCTATAAATAAGAGTGTGAACGGTGGTGGTAATCAGGCGATCGATAAACAAGAGTTGACCTTACTTTCACCGGCGTTTTCATCACCGCAAAATTCGTACTTTGATGCTAAGCAAGACGATTCGCGTCACCATCAACTGCAACAGCAACATTATATGGCCATGCCACCGCCTAAACCATCGTTTGAATTGGAAGACGCTGGCAAAGAACCATCGTCGTCCAATTCAATGACGGTTTCGATTGGCCTGGATGATAACGAACGGCCATTGCCTAAAAAGAAACAAAAGAAACCCAAAGAGTTGAAAGAATCCGGGTTTTCTATAGAATCAGATGAAAAACCTCCATACTCGTATGCTACGTTGATTGGAATGTCTATTTTAACCACCAAGTCGAAAAAACTAACTCTTTCTTCGATTTATCAATGGATATCTGATACTTTCAAGTATTATAAACGTGAAGACGTTGGATGGCAGAATTCAATTAGACATAATCTATCATTGAATAAAGCTTTCATCAAAGGTGATAAGTCAAAAGATGGTAAGGGCCATTATTGGTGTATTAAACCAGGATTCGAAGAACAATTTTTGAGATCAAGAAATAATAAAAAATCGGGTTATCATGAAATAATGGATCAGTTGAAAAAATATCCAAATCATCCAAATTACCCAACTCATCACTTTGGGGAAAGACCCGTTGACATCGAGGCTAAACCAATCCATCGCTCCATCAACTCTATTCCTTCCTCGCCTAATCTAGCTGAAGATGAAGATGAACAACCAATCAAGAAAAGAAATCGTTCAGAAATCGACGATGACTTTAATTATCGTGACAGCGATGATGACGAAACGAATTTTAATGAAGATAATGATCATAAATATAGTCGTGCATATTTGATCATCCTTTCAAAAAACAAAAGTTAGCTGATGATGATGACGACTATGAAGATGACGAATGGGAAACAACTAAATTGATAACAACTCCAAAATCTGGGAAAAATCATCCTAACTTCATAATCAGCGAATCTCCAAATAAACCGTTATTGGCCGGTAAGAATTTAACCTTCACTTCAAGTTTTAGTTGTCAATCTAATTTTGAATTATCCCCAATAAGAACCAGCGAAACTGGTCCTTTACTAGAGCCTTTAACTCCTGCCAATAATAATTATAAAAGTTCAGCCAATTTAATCCAAATTCCTCCTCCTATTCATTTAAACCATTCTAATTCAAATAACCATCTTCACCCCCATTATTCCCTTTCTCAATACCACCACCCAGGCCAGTCCCAACAACCATCTCAATTGCAGCATCCTCTCAATAACTTAAAAACCACTCCGAAATCAAATATTAAAACTCCATTGAGAATCTTGAAAACTCCTCAAACATCATCGATAATGAAAAGATTATGGAATTCTCCTTCCTATCTTGATGATTTTTATTATTCTCCATTACTCAGCTCCTCCCATGGTGCATTGAACTCGTACGATGATGATGATATGATCATGAGAGCTTTTGAAAGCCCGGCTAATAATCAAGTAAATCAAAAAACTGCGAAAAAAAATTTATCTTCAAGTATTGATTCAAGTCGTAACTTATTTGATGATTTGAAAAAAATTGACTCCTTAACTTCAACTAGCTCAATTGATTCTACAGAAAAAAAGGATCCAGATCATCATCGTTCGGATTCAAACCTCACGGATGCTGACTAACTTGGTGCTTGGTTTGCAAACTTTTGTTTTTGGTACGGTTTAGGGTTTACAGGGTTTTGCTTTTTTGTTTTCTTTTTTGTTCTTTTTTTTTGGCTTGTTTGATTTTGTTACTATACTCAATTTTCCCTTGATGTTTTTTGTTGCAAAAAAGATCACTGCTTTTGATTTCATTTCTCGATATCTTGCTATTCTTATTCTACTTTGTATTATTAGCGTACTCTTTAAGTATGTTTCTTTGTTTTATTTTGTTTTGTTTTTTCGTTAATTTACTGTGTATTTGTATAATTTACTATTAATACTATTCATTATTTTATGTCATTAGATCCTTTAGTCAATGCTAGAACACCCTTTACAGCCACATGTTATACATCGATCGAAATCCTTGCCATCGTCTTCTAATTGCTTTCTAGGTACTCGACAAATGCAAGTATTCTCATGATTCTTCTCGTTAACTATAATACAATTTATACAACATAACTTCTCGTATCCTTGTTTTTTCCATTTGGCAATTAAATCTTTATTCACGTACTTCTGCTTCAAAAGATATTGGTACAACTCACTCAGTATGGTCTTACGTTCATAGTATAATGAATACACGTATCTTGATATTTGATGATTAATTTGATAAATTGGCCATAAAGATTCGTTCTTATTAGTGGTTTTCAATGATTTTGCCTGTGACTCCTTGAGCTTCGCCAATAGCTTATTCAATGTTGGTTCAATCTTGTCAAACCCCTCGGGTATCTTGGATTTTTTAGATGTCTTGGGCATTTTTGTTTTCAATTATTAACTAGTCATCTTGTTATGAAGTTATTTTTTTTTGTTCGATGACTTAGCGCAAAAAAAAAAATCGAGTGAAAATCTCATTACCTCCCCTGCTAACTATAACTTGATATCCGCTACTTTTGCTAACCACTACTAACTATTACCAAATCCCTAACAGACTAATTGAATCCGCTTTGCAATCCACTTCGTTAGCATGGGCAAAAAAATAACGATGTTGGCAAGATTCGAACTTGCGCGGGAAATCCCATTGCATGGCCCGAAAGATTCGAGTGCAACACCTTAACCGCTCGGTCACAACACCTATAGAGAACGCCTTTGCAGGATTCGAACTCTCAACATATTTGGAATACCTGTCTGTACCTCCAGAAGAAGTACACGACCAATCTATCACCCCAAATCATCAAAATTTTGATGATTCTGGTTTACTCGATTGACACACTTGCCATCAGCATTAAGTTTTGGTAAAAAAAGCAAATTCCCCAAATCTAATTATTCAGGGCTTTCATTGCTTTCTTCAGGCTCTTTAATGTATACTCATGAGTTTTTGAGAAGAAGGAAGCTTTTGCAAGAATATTTTGTGAAATTGATAGAAGTAGTAAATGGACCAGTTTGGCATTGATTTCTTTATTGAAGGCTTTCCAAACCTTTTCTTCTGGCCCTCTGCAGTATTGTTTTAAGTTGGACTGCCTCTTACTGGGCACTCTTTGCTGTTAAAAGATTCTGATACGAGGAGTTTAGGTATTTTAAATGATATTTTTACCAGGCTGATAATTATATGTAAACATCAGAGAAGGCACATTCAATGGATCCTAACCCTTACCTCTAGGTTGAATACTTTCTCCTATCTATGTAGGTACATAAATATATATTCAGTATTCTAGAGAATGCATTTTTAAATGTTCGTTTTTTGAATGTCTGTTTTGGTGACTTTCAGCTAGCTTAATGGCTAAACTCGACTAAATAATTACTAAATCAAGTCACTGGCCCACTAAGCAGAATAGTAAGAAGTTTTTCCAACATATATATATATATACATTGCAAAAAGGAACATATAATATCTGCTTCAACATGATAGGCAAGTTTATAAAGTAAACGGTTTCAAATTCAACAGCTGGTGAAATAAATGTTTATGAGTATCTTCACCGGAGGCTACAGCAGAATGAATATTAGGATACGTATCTGATTTAAAGCAGGAATGGAAAATACCAAGAGGTCGAACGAGACTAATTACGCCGAAGCGCAAAAGCCAAAGCTCTGAATAGTGGATTGATCGCATAACGAATATCAACATATATGCTACTTAAGTCTTCCTGGTTGCATAAACAAGACTCTATTCACATTCTATGGGTTGATTGGGTTGATGGGTTGATTGAAGTATTTAAACAGTAACCTGGCGTTAGTCAATGGCTGCAATTTTGCACAATCAACACAAAAATTTGAGTAAAACTTAAATGTCTACACTACAAAAGACAAAACTACTATCATTAATATCTCGTCATGTCATTAAATATATATAGTTATTCTTTCAACCAATCCGGCAATTTTTCAGGATCAGCCTCTATAGTATTTATATCAAAGCTTTCAATTAATAATTCGACCAAAATTCTTCCACCCCTAGCACCAGTGAATCTTCTATATTCTTCACTAACACTAGCCAAATTCCAACCTTGCAATCGTCTTAAACAGCCAATCACGGCACCAGTACGGTGTCTACCCATCCCACAGCAAACCAATAACGGATAGTTTTCTTTATTGCAAATCAATTCCAAGGCCTTTTTGATCGTTGTTTCACTTAATGAATCCCAGGGATTTACGTTTGAGTAATTATAATCATTGATCATGCCCACAAATTCGATATTTATATTGTTCATAGAACAGTAATCTAGAAAGTCTTCTTGAGGTTCTTCACTAGCCAACCATAATATGGTTTTCAAATGTAAGTCTTGTAAGAAAGACTGATTTATGATTGACGGTTGACCCGAACGGTATAGTTGTTTTTCGACCGGGCAGAAATTCAAAGGAGGAATGATTCTTAGTGCCGGTGGCCGGGTTATCTTCGTGAGCTTTTTCGCTTCACGATCAACCTGAACGTCCATGATAATGTGGAAGAATAGCTTTAAACAAGTTTTCTTTAATTGAACTTTTTTTTTTTTATGTTTTATCGAACAAAACACCCACACACCATACCGAACAGTAAATTTTTCAAACAACTCTCAACTTTAAACACGTTGAAGTTTCCGATTCTTCTTCACAAGACAATCAAAGAATGGCTAAGAAGGATAGCACTCAGATGAAGAAGGCAGCAGCAGCTTCCAACAATGGCACCTCAATTGGCCAATCGATCAATGAAGTTATTTCCGCAATTGAAACCACATATAAAGATTATTCGAATACATTGACCCCAAGATTGAAATTAATTGATTTATTTTTATTATTTTTAGTGGTGTTGGGAGTTTTACAGTTTTTATTTGTCTTACTTGTTGGAACCTTTCCTTTCAATGCATTTTTAGGAGGATTTATTAGTTGTGTTGGACAATTTGTATTAACTGTTAGTTTAAGATTACAATATAACGCCGATAATAACTCAATTGAAAGTGAAGATAAATATAAGAAAGAGATCTTAGAAAAAGACATTAGTGAGATTAATAGCGGGCTGGTGAACGTTGAAAGTTTGGAAGAGGATGTCAAATCAAAACCATTCAAGTATATTAGTCCAGAACGAGCATTTGGAGATTTTATCTTTGCCAGTTTAATTTTACATTTTATAGTATATCATTTTATTAATTGAATTAGATATATTCAATATACAACAACGAGAGAAGAGATCGTAGGAACGATAACAAATAAGTGATATTTTTTTTTTGTTTTTTCAGTAATTTTTTTTTCAAGTAGATGGTAAATCAAGTAGATGGTAAATCAAGTAGATGGTAAAAAAAAAAATTTTTTTTTTGGGAACAAAACTTTTCAATAGATCAATATTAATAAATAGAAGTAAACGATTAAACGATGATACAGCAGCCGGATTTTTCTTTACCTTCTTTAGCATTTGATTGGTTCTTTCTATTTGAAGATTTAGATTGGTTATTAGCAGCAGAAGCTTTATCATCAATTAAAGAATCATTGGTTTGTTTATTTGGGGAATCGCCATTGTTACCAGCAGCAATGGCGTCTTGGTTAGAAGTAGGAATAGCTTGATTATTTATTGTATTATCATTAACCGGTTGAGGTTGATTTACAACGGATGATTTTTGTTGAGATTGTTGATTTGAGGATGCAATTTGTTCTTGTTCTTGTTTTAATTTGGATTCTTCTTCTTGTAATAACTTATTTTGGTGTCTGATGGATCTGACCAAACCATGGAAAGCTTCTTCAACGTTAATTCTTTGTTTAGCAGAGGTTTCCAAAAATGGAGCATTGAAAGATTTGGCCAAGGCTAAACCTTCTTCGTAACTGACTTGTCTTTCGATTTCCAAATCACATTTATTACCAACAACCAACACTGGAACATTATCCGAATCCTTAACTCTTTGAATTTGTTCGAAAAATGATTGTAATTCTTCTAAGGAATTTCTCGAGTTAATCGAGTAAACTAAGAGAAACCCTTCTCCGGTTCTCATATATTGTTCTCTCATAGCACTATATTCCTCTTGTCCCGCGGTATCCAAGACATCCAACAAAACCTGTTCTTTATCAATCATACATTGTTTACGGTATGAATCTTCAATGGTTGGATCATATTCATCAACAAAATGGGATTGAATAAACTGAATGGTCAATGCAGACTTACCAACACCACCACCACCAACAACAACTAATTTGAACTCTTCTGGTACCATTGCGTTGTATTAAAATCAATAGATGTTTGAAAAAGAAAGAAGGTGAAACTGAAAAATGCTAATGGTCAAGCTGTCGCTAAGTATTTTTGATTAAACAAACACTAACAAAACGAAAAATAAAATAAAAAAAAAAATTTCTTTCCTAACAAAAAAAAAAAAATTAAAATTAAAATACACTAACAAAACTAAAAAAAAAGACAGAAAAAAAAAAGAGACAGTCAAAAAAAACGAATCAAAAAAGCTCAATTCAATTGAATGCTTTTTAAAGGATCTGAAAATGAACAACACAGTACTCACACACGCGTAGGCAATCCAGAATTCGATTATAACTCTGATTGATCAAGACTTCTGCTTGGGGGTTGTACTTGGTTAAGGTGAAGTTTCTACGAAAGAAAGAAAGATAAAAAAAAATTTTTTTTTTTTGTCTGCCTTTTGAAAAAAAAAAAAAAAAAAAAAAAAAAAAAAAAAAAAAAAAAAAAAAATTTTCCTGCGAAGCTTTCGATACCGTTATTTTGGTTGTTTTGTTAGTGTATTTATTGGTGTTACTGGTGGGATTGGGTTACTGGTGCTATTGTTGAATAGTTTGTTATTGGCAGGTGTGTGTAGAGGTGTAGGTGGGTAGGTGGGTGTGTATTGGATATAGTTCAGCCTTTCAATCGTTTACAATGCGACTAAACAGACGATAGGGTTTTTACAACGTTTAATTGACGAATGAAAATTTGCTGGCTAGAGTAGCCCTTTACAAATGTTTATTTAAAGAGATAAAAAAACAAAAATAAAATGGTTATTGAGTGGGCTGGAAATAGCCCCAGTGACATGCCAACGTAGCTAAAGAAAAACAACCTGAAATAATTGTAATTGTTGAGAAAGTTTTAAAGTTAGGATAATATGTTATGATTTTTGTGTTTAACAATAGTGGAATTCTTATTGTTTAATTATCACCTTCGTTTAATTTGTTAATCGATTGGCCGTTTGCCTCGACAATTTTAGCCCTAATCGATTGAGGTCGGTCTCTCTCACGTGAATATCTTGATATCTATCCATGTTAAAACTTCTTAACTTTTCTTGATTTGTTTAAACAGTCGTCGCAGTACCATTTACCCTTGGGGGGGTTTTTAAATCCAATACAGGGTAAGTGAAACCATTCTCGTTTACAATCATCTCCGTCACATCCAACCATTTCTCCAAAAGAAACCTGGTTACAGTAGCAATAAGTGGGTTCCCCATTACCGCCAGTGTTGGTTGGAATTGGGCCTGCTGGTTTTGTAGGTTGTTCAGAATCGACTTCTCTTTTAGGCTTCGATGTAGCCCTCTTTTTAGCAGGAGGTTCGGAGTGCGCATGCGCTATGGCTAGACCTTCTGGTACCGATTGGACTAGATGGGAATGTTGCATTGGTGGTATTGGTTGAGGGGGTTGTTGTTGATGTTGTTGATGGATGGGTTGGGGCTGAGGGGGTTGATGTTG